TGAGGCCATCCTTGTACCTGATCCATCTCTGTCCCCGATGGGATCTTGGGGCTTCTCCGCCCCCTGGTGGCCATGTGGGGAAGTTAAGGAGCCTGTGAGGTCAGAGCTGGTTATGAAATATCCAGGAATTTTGATAGCTTGCTGCTATACTCAGCCATTATCAAAAGTTAAACTATTTTAAAGTTAAATAATATGAACCTGCAATATAAACCTACAAAAAATATATTAAAAACCAAAACGATAGCCCGGTGCCTGGCACATGCCTATAATCCCAGTGACTCAGGGGGCTGAGTCAGGAGGATTCTAGGTTTGGGGCCAACCTGGGCAACTTAGTGAGACCCTATCTCAAAATGAACAAATAACTGGGTAGTAGTTTAATAGTAGAACTTTTGCCTAGCATGCTTGAGGCCTTGGGTGGAATTCCTAGTACCACTAAGGGAGGAAAAAATAAAGAAATAACTATTCTGATCACTTTCTAATTATCATACTAGATTTTACTATTACTTGTGCCATTGATTGTATCTGGGAGAGTTGAAATGTGCCATGATGGCATGCCACTATACATCGCTTCTCAACCCTGTATTTAATGAGTCAAGTTAGTAGCTTGAGATGGGCCATGGTGGGAGTTTGTACTCTGGAAACAGGCCAACCTTCATAGGGCCACCCATTCACATTACCAGCACACCACTGTCCAGGGGGAGGCTGTGGTCCTACATAGGAATGTTGCCACACTGAGTGCCCAGGAAGAGCTTTTGGCTCTAGCTGTTACTCCTCTCCCCCCCAGGGTTTCATCCTCCTACCCAAGACCGAGTGTGATGTGCGGGAAGTGGAGTTTGCCCGATGCCTGCGGCTGCGCCAAACCTCCCTGGAGCCTGTTGCTTTCCGGCTGCCCCGAGTCAGGGTGAGGTTGGGTCCAAGGATTCCAGCACCCAATGCCCTCTTCCCAGCACTGGCCAGGGACTTTAGTTCTATCTGGCTGTGCTTCCAAACCTTCCTGCTCTCTGTTCTTTGGGGATACTGGCCCCTTATTTGCTGCAATTTCAGAAGTTATGGATGCCCCAGCATGGGGGGTAAGGGTCACAGAGCTTGATATTGGTGTGTTCTAGGTCTTAGTCAATGTCTCAAGACAGTCCCTTCCTCCCCCGCAGAAAGAGTTCTTCCAGAATGATGTGTTCCCAGACACTGCTGTGAGCTGGGAGCCAGTGCTCAGTGCCGAGGCCTGGCTAGGAGGCACCAATGGACAGCCCCGACTACTCAGCCTGCAGCCCCCTGGCATGATCCCAGGTGGAGTAACTAGGGTTGGGGGGAGGAAGCAGGGGAGTCTGGGCAGGGCCTAGAGGAGGGGGCAGAGGCCCAAGTTCAATCCTTCATCATTGAGGGCACACAGGACCTCCAGCTCTCTCAGGGATGGAGTGACCATGTCTTGAGACCCAATCTCTGAGCTCCTGGAGGGTAGTACCTATGTTTCCATCCCACATCCTACCCAACACATACCCTGGTCCCTGGTGCCTAGGGACTTCACAGAAACTTCACTAGCTGTTTATGCCACCTATCCCCTAGGGGCTGGCATCAAGCAGCCCCCACACAGGGGACTCTCTGATACCTGTCCTTGCCTCATCTCAGTGAGCCAAGCCCCCCGTGAAGCGCCTGCCCGGCGAGCCCCATCCTCAGCACAGTACCTGGAAGAGAAGTCAGATCAACAGAAGAAGGAAGAGGTAGGCAAGGGAGAGGGCTAGCTCTGCAGAGTGGACGGGGTCCTAGCTGTGTGTGGTTGTCCTTCATATCTCTAGTCCTGATCAGATGGGAGTTGTATCACACTGATCTCTGTGTCAGAGCTTGGTGGGGAGACCTTTCAGAGTCCTGCTGCTGACCTCCTGCTGCCCCCAGGGTACAGGAAGCCAGGGAAGGTAGGGAGAGCCCCTCCAAAGCCCACCAGGCCTAATCCAACTAAAACTGGAGGTTGGAGAGCCAAGTCCATTTGGGGCCCTGGTGTATGTTTGAGCTTTTTAGGCTATGTACAGAGACAGCTGCACCTGAATCAAGTGCCACAGCCACAATCTCTCTGTCTCTGATTCCCATCTCTTGTCTTTGTGTCTTCTTCAGTGAAAACCCATGAACTTTGCCACAGCTCTAATTAAAATGGCTCTTTTCACAACACTGTCAGGGTTAAAACCATGGGATCTGATGCTCTTGAGGTCTGGAAGTCCTATTCCTTTCAACGCTTCTCTGATCCACTCTTGCAGCTGCTGAATGCCATGGTGGCAAAGCTAGGGAACCGGGAGGACCCGCTGCCCCAGGACTCTTTTGAAGGAGTGGATGAGGATGAGTGGGTAAGTGAGTGGCAAGGGAGACCAGCCTTCCTGACCAGCAGTACCATCCCTCCCAGACACATAGCAGCACACACACCCTCCCTTCCCAGACCCTCTTAACTCTCTCCCACTTCTTGGTTTATCACACCAGGACTAGCCTGCCTACCAGTCACTTCTGGCCTCATCTGCTGCTGCCACCTCCTAGAACCACCTGGTGCCCTTGCACACCTCACATCTCTTCAACCTGGAAGATACCTCTCTGGCCCTGGCACGCCCCATCTCAGAAGTCTTAGTTTATTGCAGGCCTTGGGCACTTCCATGGTTGCTGGGCCTACTGCAACTCCCAGGGATTGTCTGTACTTCAGCTTACTTTGGGACCAGCTGCTTGTCCTCAACCACCTGCTAGCATGTGGAACCAAAGGACATGGGGTTGGGATCAGTACCATGTCCCTGGGCAGGCCCTGGGCTCCCTGTCTCCCCTGCTCTTTCTGCTGACTTGGGCTGGTCCCAGCCTAGGCTGGTCTTAATCCAGCACCTTCAGGTACTACATGCCAACCCATCTTGCCTGCTGTCCTAGTTCCTATTAAGGGTGTTGGGGGCTGGCCCCCCACCAAGCCATTTGGAACAGCTCCAGCCTGAAGGACCTGGGACCAGTTGCCCTGCTTCCCAGGGTTGCAACAAGGAGAAGGGGGCCTCACCAAATTGATGGCCCAATTAGGGTAGTGTGAATCCTGCAAGGACCAGCCTGCACATGCTTGGATGTTTTCAGCAATTAAATTTTTGTAAGCTGACCACCTCTTGTGCTATTCTTGTCTCTGGGATAGCTGGAAAGGGAAAGAGGACATGAATATGAGTGAGAGTGGTTGAATCTGTGCTCACCCTCATCCCAGCTCACTTTGTCCTTATGGCCTTTTAGCTGAAAGCTGCTGGGAGTTCATTCATTCAGCACTCAGGTGCCCAGCAGTACTCTGAGAGCCCAGCAGGGTTGGGGTCTTTCAATGAGCTTAAGCTTTCTATAGCTTTGTTGTACAAGGGAAGTAGACTGTGCAGAAGAGCAGTGTGAAAGGAGCCATGGAGAAGATAACTATGAAAAAAGAAGTGGGGCTGGGGATACAGCTCAGTTGGTAGAGTGCTTGCCTCATTATGCACAAGGCCTTGGGTTCAATCCCCAGCACAAAAAAAAAAAAAAAAAAGGAAGTGATTTGAATGCAGGGGCAAATAGGGTATTGAGAGGTCTGAGAAGTTGACTCCCATTTAAGCTGACACCTGAAGGAGCTTGCCACAGAGAATGCTACAAGAACATCTCTAACAAAAGGAAGGACAGCAGAGGTGCTGAGGGAAGAAGCGATTTTGAGAGCCTGAGGAAAGAAAGGGCAGTGCCAGAGCACAGTGTAGGCAGCCTGACTTCCATCTATTCTACAAATACTTGTGAGCACCTGCCACACGCCAGGCAGCCTTCCAGGTGGAGAAGAGATACACAGCTTGCCCCCTGGGAATTTGCCTTCTAGTGGGAGGGAACAGACTATAAGCAATAAACATAAAGGAACTATATGATACGGTAGAGGATGTAAAAGCCTCAGAGAAAAAAAACAGAGGAGGTCAGGGGGCTGGGGCTGTGCCTCAGTGGTAGTGCACTTGTGTTGCAGGTGTGAGGCACTGGGTTCGATTCTCAACACCACATATAAAAAATGAATAAAATAAAGGTCCATCAAACAATAAATATATATATATATATAAATTTAAAAAAGTAAAGGGGATCAAGAGTGGAGGAATAAGCTGTTCATGGTAATACACACCTGTAATGCCAGCGACTCTGGAGGCTGAGGTGGGAGGATGGCAAGTTCAAGACCAGCCTCAGCAATTTAGCTGTCCATAGTTGCCCTAAGAAACTTAGCCAGACCTTGTCTCAAAAAGATAAAAAGGGATGGGGATATGGCTCAGTGATAAAGTGCCTCTGGGTTCAATCTGCAGTACCAAAAAAATGAAGGAATACCCAGCACCACCAAAAAAAAAAAAAAAAATATATATATATATATATATATATATGAAGGAATAAGCAATAAGCCAGTCACAAAAGGCACTTGTAGTATTGATTCCATTTTTGTGGAATGTCTTGAAGGGACAAATCCATAGGGACAAAATGCAGATGAATGGTTGTCAGGGCAGGGCGAGGATGACTGCTGGTGGGCATGAAACTAAATGGTGGTGATTGTTGCACAGCTCTGTGAATATGCTCAAAGACACTGAATTGTGCACTTTAAAAGTGTGAGGTGTATGGTGTGTGAATTACATCTCAATAGAGAGAATGTAGGGCATGTCATAGTGGGGGACTCGGGGTGGGCTTCATTGAGAAGGTGGCATTTGAGCACAGATTTGGGGGAGGAAATTAGCCTCTCAGATTACCAAACAGAAGGAATCTGGACTGAAATCTATTTAAGTTCCCAGTTTTCTTAGATATTCCAGAAAATTTGGCATCCTACCTCATATTATATTCGTTTATTTCACATGATGTTTTCGTTTTAAGTATTTTTGGCAAAACTAAGGGAAGAAACAGTCTTGGCGCCCCAGCTAGAGGGCCACCTGGAGGGGCTGGGACCATCCATCGCTCGCCTGGTGATCCCCAGAGCCCAAGGAAGGTTCCGCCCACCGAAGGTCCCGCCCCTCCCGCCCCTCTTTCGTCACGACAGCGCTCCGTCCGGGCCGAGGTAACGCGCATGCCCAGCGCGGCCTCGCGCACGCGCCTTGCTGTTTCCTTTAACCTGTGACCCGCCGGCAGCCCTTGAGCCGGCGCGGCGGGGCCAGGAAGCGGGAGTCCGCGACCCCGAGGCAGAGCGGTCGCAATGGTGAGACCCGGGACGCGCCGCCGGAACAGGGAGGCTGGGGAGGGTGATGGGGCTCCGGCCGTGCTGAGGGCGCGCGTGCGGCGGGAAGCGGGGCGGGGGGGGGGGGCGGCCGGGAAACGCCGCCGGCGGAAGGCAGCGCACACCTGGCTGACGCACGCGCGGGTCCTTGCCGTCGCCGCCCGCTCAGCCGGGTGAGAGCGAGCCGCCGCGGGCGACCGGAGGGGGCATGCGCACACCTGTTCCACGGAGGCCTCCCGGGAACTTTGAAAAGGCAGGTTCCTGAGCACCGTCCCTGAAGGTCGCGGAGTTGGTATCCGCCAGTCGATGACTTGAGGGACTGTATCCGTAGGAAAGGAAAATGCTGTGGATAAGTATGATAGGAGGAGGCTGGGAAAGTTTCCCACCGGAGGTGGGCTGTTAGACGTCCAGCGACTCCCGCAGGGCTGGGGTTTAGACAGTGTCAGGAGGGAAGATATTCAAAGTGGAGGAATTTGGAGCACACGTGGAGAAGAAAAGTGTAAGAACTGATCTAGGAGTAGAGGGTGCATTTGCATTATGGGGAGAGGGGAAGGGGAGAATAAGGCGGAGAAGTTAGTTGAGGCCAGATGGAGAGATGTGAATGCCAAGTGGAGAACGGTGTGTGTATTGGGCAATGGCCAGAGCCCTTCCCCAGCTGAGGGGTTAGGAGGCATTTGGAAACCTTGTCTGGGAGCATAGAGTATAAGACTCCAGCCTTGTCTGAAGCGCAGCTGAGGGTGGTGTGGTTAACTGTCCATTCCTGGGCAGCCACATTCATTCAAATGCAGATTGGGCTCTGGGCCCCTGTGGTCCTGGCCTTTTTCCTGCCTAGCTGTGATACCAGCAGCTGTTTGTAGAGGCCCTGAGTGACCAGAGCCCCCTTGCTAGCTCAGCATGTCCTTGAGAAGGAAGTGAGTCTTAGTGGCAGTCTGCTCACCAACCTGAGGGCCTGCAGCTGTGCCTTGAAGGAATGTAGCACATTTGTCAGAAAGCTGAGCTCCTTTCTTGATGTACTTTTAGTGGGATAATCCTTATTTCTGAGTGTCTCCTTAATATTACTTGTGGTACTTTGCCCTAACTTCAGGGCTGTGGTCTTGTATTTGCCATGTTGCTTTACAGAAGAAAAAGCCTATGTGCTGCCCGCTGTGGGTCCCAGGTTGGAGTCCTGTGGCTCTGACCTCTGCTGTCTGCCTACTGCTTGACCCGAAGTTGATTGCCAATGGTTGGTCTTCACTGGGACTTTCAGACCCAAGTATCAGTCAGTGTATTATGGGTTGTTTTAGGTCTTTCCAGGAGGGGCCTCATCTGGTGGCACTTTGGATCACCTGCAGTGGCTGCAGCTTCCAGAACTTTGCCCACCATGAATCCCCAGCTGTGAGCATGGCCTGACCCATAGTCAGTGTTCAGGGAATGTTTGGGTTGGAATAGGTGGATGAGAGTTGGCAGCACCACCTGATTGCCAGACCATTAACACCAAACTGGGTCTGGCCCAGAAGTAAAGCCAGCTGTTGAACTCTTGCTTTGGCCTGCCACTGTGTGTCCAGTTGGTTTTACATGCATTCCTTTATGGCTTTATGACTCTCCTATAAGGAATGTATTCTTTTCTTCATTTTGCAGATAAGAAAACAGGGTTTAGAGAAGTTGAGTAACTTGCCCAGGGACACCCAACTAGTGAGAAGCAAAGTTAGGTTTCCAGTCTAAGTATCTCCCTAACTGCTTCCTGGCTCCCTGGGGAATACAGCATTTTGCAGCCTTCACCCCTGAGGAATCAAATGAACTGCTTTATTATAAACTTTGTTACTCCATACTGTCTAACCATTGCCAAGTTTTGTGAAACAGCAGTAGTTAATGAAAAGCAACACTTACTGATCACCTACTGTATTATTAAGGTCCATGCCAGACACATTATAGGCATTATATAATCTCTGTGACAGCCCTATCATTGTCCTCATTTTATAGGTGAGGAAATAGGCTCAGAGGGATTGAGATCTTTTCCAGGGCCACACAGCCAGGATTTGGCCACAGGTGATCCCGGAGCCTTCTGTTACCACTATACCATACTCCTTCCCCAGTGGTTTGTAGGAGGTGACCCTGCAGGAACTTTGGTGGCCTCCGTCTGCCCTCTATCCAGCTCCCTCCACCAGCCAGGGTAGCTGCTGAAACTTTGTGGGCCAATCCTGCCTTCCCTGCAGTTGTAGAGAGTTCTGGACAGTAGAACCACAGGCTACCATGCCACTTTGATTTATTTATTTTTTTCATTTTTGGTACTTGGATTTAACCAAGGAATACTAAACCACTGAGCTACATCCCCAGCCCTTTTTATTTTTTATTTCAAGACAGGTCTCACTAACATGCTTAGGGCCTTGCTAAATTGCTGAGGCTGGCCTTGAATTTATAATCCCTCTGTCCTCTGGGTCTCTGTTATTACAGGCATGTGCGACCATACCCAGCACAACTTTGATTTAAAACATGGAGGACATGGTTAGGGAAGTTTCCCAGTTACAGCCTTGGTGTTTTTGTTTTCTGTTTTGGGGTACTGGAGCTTGAACCCAGGGCTTTGTGCATACTAACCAAGGACTCTATCACTGAGGTATAGCCAGCTGTCCGCCTTTTTTTTTTTTAGTTGTAGATGGACATAATATCTTTATTTTATTTATTATTTTTTATGTGGTGCTGAGGATCAAACCCAGTGCCTCACGTATGCAAGACAAGCGCTCTACCACTGAGCTACAATCCCAGCCCAGTCTTTCCTCTTAATGTGCATTATTTAGCAATGGTCATTGGCCTCAGCAGAAAAGTAACCAGTGATTACAAGACTATGCTAAGCCTCTGGCAGCAGAGGACAGAGGCTTTTGGGTGGAGGTGAGATCACCTAAGGGGTTTTTCAGGCTCAGGGAACCTCTGGAGGTAGTGACTGCCCTGTCATGCAAGGCCAGTATTCCACCTGAGAGCCTGTAGCTTTTAGGCAAGGAGGACAGAAGACAGGTGAGATTACACAGTCAGCAAGCACACTGCTATTCCTCGTACACCTCCAGTACAGCTGGCTGCAATCTTGCCTTTGATTACATGAGGGTCTTCTTTAGGCTTTACTTTCTTGTATGAAATCCAGAACTTATGAAATTTCCACCTACTTGTGAAATGCAAACCAAATTGTGTTTATTCATTCCCCTGATGGCCCATAATCACATCCCTTCTGTTAGGGAAGGACAAGGCCTTGAAAGCCAAACTAGGTCACTTCTGGAGTCCGAATTCCACTGGAATCTGACAGCCCCTGCCCCTCTTTGGCTTCTGGATCAGTTTGCTTAGTCACCCTGCCTTATCTTGGGATTTTTGTGAGGCAGCAGCCCGCAGCTACCTTGTCACATAGCGCCAGCTCTGGGTTCCTTCTCCCTCACTCAAGTACTAGCTGCCTGTCCTTGGTCACTAAGCCCTTTGAGTTATTGGGATTATATGGCACAAACAATAGAACATGTTTGGCACAGTGCCTGGCACACAAGCTCAATCAGTACTTGCTGACCAAGGGGAACTCTAACCACAGGAAAGTACAAAGAAGAAAGGGCAACTTACTTGACTCTGCCACATGAACACTGTTAACCCATTTTGAGCAGCCTCCTGTGTCCTCTGTGCAACCCTGTTTGTACCATTTCATGGACATAGGATCATTTTTTTATTCATGTTGTCTATGATAATCTGCATGTCACAATATAGTCTATAAATTTTCCCATGTCATATGCCTTTCTGTTCTTATCTCTGGCTGCTCCCAGGATGTATCTTATTCCCCTACCCTGTTCCTCTGCTTCAGAGTCCTAAGATTCGCATCATGATTCTATCTGCTCTTCAGAACCTAGCCCAGGAGAAGCACCATCTTCTCCCAGAACCTCTCTCATTCCTCAGTGTTCCCTCTACTGACTGAGCGTCTGGTTGTGTCTTAGTGAGGTATGTCTGTGGCATGCTGAATCATAGTCTGGGGTCTGTATAACCTTGTTGTGCTGCAGTTGATTTCCATGCCAGGCCATGCAAGTATGTGGCCAGCTCAAGACAGGGACCAGGCTCCGTGTATGCTGTGCAGTGGGTGGTGTAGACTCTGGCTAGTGTTTGAAGGAGTAGGCGAACCAGTGGCTGAACAAATGAACTAGCCCTACTCTTGATAATCAAAAGGTCCTTCCTGTGATTGTCTAACTACCCTCCTAATGGGCCTTTAGCTCCTGAAGCTGGAGACTATATATTCTAAATAGACCTGTGGTAACTTTTTGTTGTATTGAATGGAATGAACTCCAAGTCATAGGACTTTATGGTTAGAATGGATCTGAATTTCCCCACTGGAAAAAAGAAGGTTGGACCAGATAATCTGAGAAGCACAGGAAGAGTCATTGTCAGTTCTGGGATAGAGGGTGAATTGGTAACAGGTCTGGGACTGTCCCTGTGTTCTGGATCCCAGGCCACAGTGTTTCTTACTAACGTCAGTGCCCTCCATCCCCTGTAGCCACATTGCTTTGGTTTTTCTCTGACTTTCCTGAAGGTCAAGGGGGACCAGTCTGCCTCTGGAGACTCCAGTAAGTATCTGAAGCCACCCCAAGCAGAAGCTTTTTATCAGGGCACTTTGGAGAAGGTGGCCTGTGGCTGCAGTGCTATACACCATACTCTCAGTTCCTCAGCAGCCATCTCCAGACTCCCCACTTTGCAGACCCTGAGAATGCAGCCTTCTAACCAGATGCCTATTCTGCCCACAGGCCAAGTACCTGGCCCAAATCATTGTGATGGGCGTACAGGTGGTAGGCAGAGCCTTTGCTCGGGCCCTGCGGCAGGAGTTTGCAGGTAAGCATGGGCCCCTCTCTCCTGAGTTGAGAGCTTCTGCCCAGGTCAGATCTTTCTTGGTAGCTCAGCCTGGTCATGAATGCAGTGATTCCCTCCACGAGAAAGCATTCTGTGGCTTGGGTGGCTTGGGGCACTCTTTTGTGGTAGGGGGTAATGCCAGACTTTGGGACCTTCCCATGTGAGAGAGAGGTTTATGTCCAGTGAGACTTGGTTAACGTGAATATCCTGGTCAGGAGCTGGCAAACTGGCCCACTTGTCCATCTGTTTTTGTAAATTAAGTTTTCCTGGAACATAGCCACATCCTCTGGCTGCTATCAGGGAGAGCTGAGTAATTCCAATGCAGGTGAAATTGACCAAATTTAAAATATTTTCTATCTGACCCTGTAAGGAAATGTTTACTGGCTTCTGATTTTAGTGTCACTAGAGGCAAGCTTGCTTTGATGGTCTGGGTGCTGGCTGGGCAGCCAGGTCCCAGCAGAACTATTGCTCCTCCCTTGACCACAGCTTCACTCCGCCTGGTCCCCATATCCTAAAGTGCCCCAATTTGCTCTGCCCCTGGGACCAGAGGTAGGGGGAGAAGAGGACTAGGTCAGCTTATGATCTAGTAGGGGACCATAACCCAGGCTTGATGGTCAGACCTTGTCCTCCAGTAAGGCTTGTCTGTCCTTACTTTCCTGCCCCCTCCCCCAAAAGAAACCAGTCCTGGAGAAGAGCTACTCCTGGCCAATTCTGTTCCTGTATGTCTCCTCTGTGCCACCTGGCAGGGGTGAGCCACCCATCCGGAAGGCTCAGGGGGAGCTTTGGGCCATGGAGGGCTGAGCGATCACCCATGTGTCCACACAGCCAGCCGAGCCGCAGCTGATGCCCGGGGACGAGCTGGGCACCAGTCTGCAGCTGCATCCAACCTCTCTGGCCTCAGTCTTCAGGAGGCCCAGCAGATTCTCAACGTCTCCAAACTGAGTCCCGAGGAGGTCCAGAAGGTAAGGGTGTAAGACTGGGGTAGGGGAGGCTTGGCAGAAGTGGGTAAGTGCAGTGGGTCTGACTGAAGCCAGCTGGGACTCCCACTGAGGAAGCCACTGTTGCTTGTTAAGTTTTAGGCCCCAGGCAGGGCAGTTGCAGAGGCAGAGCTGTTGGTAGTAGCAGTCAAGCTGTCCCTCTATGGGCATCTGTCCTGTCTCTGCCCCTTTAGGTCATGGCAGCCTCCTGGGTTGCACAGTGTGGCATACGGGGTGTAGAGGTCAGGCCCTTTAACTTCCCTTATCGTCAGCTTCTCCTGGTGTCTCATTCAGAGTTTGCAGTCTGCTCTCCGTCTCCTCTCCCCTGCAGAACTATGAACATCTATTTAAGGTGAATGATAAATCCGTGGGCGGCTCCTTCTACCTACAATCCAAGGTAAGTGCTCTTTGATTCTTCAAGAAGGATAAGCCACATACCTCCTCTCCTCAGTTGGGACCCCTGGCAGGGCAGCTGGCAGTTAGGGAGTTGGCAGGTAGTGAGGTATGCCAGGCCTTTCCCTGGTGCTCTAGCCTCAGAGAGGACACCCACCCCCTCAAATTGCCACTCCTCTGGCTGCCTCAGTTCTGTAGGGCTCAGCTGAAGGGACAGTGGCCCTCCCAGCATTCAGACCTTGAAGGAGCAGGAGCAGCCACTGGTGGTATGTACCAGACCAACACTGGTCTACTGGTGCAGAAACCCAGCCTTTAGGGCTCCTGTGGAGGAGGGCTGCCCTCCAGAAAGGTAGCCTGAGCCAGGAAATGAAGAATCCTGTCTGTAGGTGAGGGGCAAAAGGTAGAGGCTCTGCCGAGCCCTGATCTTTCACCTCCTTCCAGGTTGTCCGGGCAAAGGAGCGCCTGGATGAGGAACTCAGAATCCAGGCCCAAGAGGAGAAAGAGAAAGAGCAGGTGCCCAGAACGTGACCATGCAGCTCTCCTCTCCCTGCCACCTCTTAACTTATAGCTTGGTAATAAATTTCTTCCGTGTTTCTCCTGTGCATGTATCCCATTTCCAGGAGGCCAGTTGCTCTTCCTGCCTATTGTAGGGCTCTGCTGGGGACCCGGGGGGGGGGGGCGGGGTGCGGGCAACAGCTAACAGCCTCAGGAGCTGGGTTCAGGTGGTGAGATTGTTGAGCAGTCCCACCATGTAAGAGCCTGGCTGAGGGGTCACACAGCTGCTCCTGCTCCCATGGCACCTAGTTCCCCTCCCTCCCTTGCATCCTGCCAGATGGAAACCCATTACCATCCCACAGGTCTTTTCCTGCCCCACCCTCAGGGTGAAAGCCCCTGGCCCAGGCTTGGATATGATGTTTTTGGTGAGCTGGGCAGAATGCTCCCGTACATGACTGAGGGAGAACCTTGGCCAGCCTATCCCTGGACCAAGGCATGGCTCACCAGTCATAGCAGGTTAGGGACCTGAACCTTGTAATGCTTAGTCCAGAATCTTCCATCTCTGCTCCTCAGAACCCAACCCTCACGCTTCTTTCCTTCCAGTTCCCGGCTGGGCTGACCTGCTTTCAGCCTCACATTGAGGCTGGCACCTAAAGGCTGAAGAGAAACCCCAGATCAGGGGCTTTAGGTAATATAGTTGGGAGACCCCAAAGCTGAGCACAGAGCCAGACAGTCTAAGGTCAGCCCCGTTCCTAGCATGTTCATGACACAGAAACCATCTTTGCAACTCACTTTTATTGTTTCTTTATAAACTTCCTCTCACATGGAGGAATATATTGTTATAGTCATTAGCTTATCTCTTTTTTAAACTCTATGCTAACAGCAATGGAGCCAAGAGGAGGAAAAACATAAGCTACAATAGAAAGGCACTTAGAACCTGTTAAAATACTGATATCCTGGAATGTGCAACAATAAACCAACAACAACGAAAAGTATACTGGCCCTTCCAAGCCTGGTCTATCACCAATCACATGCTGAGCTAATGTCACCTTCCAGTGCCCTATTCCTCTGCTCCTGGGCTTGAGTCAAACCATACATCCCCCAAGCTAGGGACTGAAGGCCTAGGGCCCTAACAGGGATGAGGGGGGGTGCTTGGGTCCAGGGTGGACCCAAAGAAAGGAGACCTGCTCCTTTCTACCTTGCTCACAGCCCCATCAAGGGGCAGAGCCAGCATGGCCAGGCCCTGTCAGGACTGGGGTTCTAAGACCAGCAGCAGGGACTGCCAGGTCAGGGTGACCCTTCTGGGACAGAAGGGCAGTCCAGGAAAGAGTGGGATCAGAACTGCTCAGAGGAACCACAGGGCTATGGAGGACCCCACTGCCATCTGGTGGCTCTTTTGTTCTATGGGTGGGGAATTGGAGAGGATTGGCCATTTTGCAGACTAGTGACAAAGGTGCTCTAGAAGCCAGAGCTCCCAGCTGCTGGCAGGAAGGGAACAAAAGGCCCAGGGTTGGTTGAGTGGGACATGCTGGGATAGCCTAGCTTCTGGAGATTGGGCAGTGGGATCAATATCCTATATCCTTGGCATACTCTGCCCCTGCATAGTAGCTAGACCCTAGGGGAGCTGGCTGAGTGGGAGTCTCTTAGGATCAGGCTCAACTGAGAAAAAGCCAGAGGCAACAACATCCCAAGTCCAGCTCCTTCCTCCAGCCAGCTCTTCCCAGGCAGAGGGGCTGGGCCTTCCCGTAGCCATGCTTGGCTGCCCAGTCTCCCACAGACCCAGGCCTCAGTCAATGGCCAGAAAGCTCCCTCTACTTCCTCCCCTGCATGCTGTCTTGGTGCCTTAAGACCAGAAGCTGCCTCTTGCCTCAGTACCAGTGCCCTGTAGGCATCTCCATGAGGCCAGTCCCAGCTGGGATGACCAAGATGGAGCCTGGTCTGGCCCTGCCTGTTGGGCTTGGATTAAGTCCTAGCACGAGGACTGTCCATCTGACACCTTCCTTCCCTGGCTCCATGTTTCCCATACGCTCAGGATGCCTGAGTCAGATCATTCCAGGGTATAGGGGCAAGTGAGTGGTCAGCTGGCCCTTCACCTGGGAATGTTGCTGGCCCTCTGGCAGTGCAGTCTGATTCAGGCTGAATGAGGGATGACGGCAGCTGACCAAGCAGGCCTCCCTTCTCTAGCGAGCAGGAAGGCACCTTGTCATAGGGGTGGGTGGGGAACAGCATGGCTTCTTCCTGTGGCTTAGCCAGGGTCTGCATCTTATCTTCTCTCCCTCCAGGGGGTAGGCCAGAGGGAAAGGGGTCTAGGGTGAGACTGCAGGGGTGCTGTGGCCCCGTGGGGGCTCCTCACAGCTCATCACATGAAGTTGGGGGTGGTCCGGACCAGCAGGAGGGCAGATGCTACTTTGCCTGCTCCCAGTGTTGGGAAGCAGTCGCTGCTGGCCTCTGTGGCTGATAAGCGGGCAAGTGAGGGAAGACAACCTGCTCAAGTTGGCCCTGGGATGAAGGAGGCACCAGGGTGGGAAACCAAGGACTAAGAGTCTGGTGGAGGATGGGCAGAGGGCCTCAGAAGCTGTGGGGCAGGGGCCTAAGGGTGAGCAAGGCCTCAGCACCCAAGAGCATGGTCAGGGCCAAGTCCTCACTTGGGACCTGGGAAGGCAACAATGACCTTCTAGCACCATCCTTGCTGCCCAACTCATCTGGGACTGCAGCTTCCCAGGGAGCACAGACCACCAGGCCCCAGGGCAGTAGGACATTATTGCTATTTCGCAGAAGAGTTTCTGTTCGTCAGGGTGGGGCCCAGAGCTGCTGGCTGAGCTGTCATAGCTGGTAGGTAGGTAAGCAGGCTCAGTTCACTACAGCTGGTTTGAGTAGCACAGAGCCTGGTGGGATGACCACCCAGCCAGGAGTTAGTGCCTCTGGGCTGCTGGCTGCTGAGTTGACGCCTGTGGACAGGTCCAGCACAGTGCCTGGAAGCAGGGGGAGTCCATCGGGGCTTGGCCGGGAGCGGCTGCTCTCCGTCCTTTCGAGGGGAGTCTTGCAGCCCTCTGTGCCCAGGGCCCTACTGGGCACTGACCCACGCCCTTTCTCCCCCTCTGCCTTGCCGCCAGCGGAGCCAGTGAGGAGGGAGACCACAGGCAGGCCCAGTCCACCAGCCCCAAAGGGAGAGGGCAGCAGTGGGTTCTTGGCCAGATTGAGGGGCAGAACAGGGCCTGGCAGCCCAGGGCCAATACCCCCACCACCCCCGCCATTGCCACAGGCCAGGGCACTGAGGTCGAGGGGGCCAGGGGCCAGGGGCAGGGGCAGGCCAGGCAGGCTGGGGCCTCCAAAGAGGGCAGCAGGGTTGGGAATGATGATCTGAGCCCCACTAACATAGGGGCTGCTGTCAGGGGTGGGCAGTGGTGGTTTAGGGGGTGGGCGTAGCTGCAGGAGCTCCTGCTGCTCGTGAGACACGAAGTGGCCATGGGCTTTGATGTGCTTGCGCAGAGAGCTGGGGTCTGTGTAGCGCTTGTGGCAGCCAGGCATCTTGCAGTAGTAGGGTTTGTCCACGTAGTGGGTGCGAGTGTGCTTGAAGCGGTCACTCGAGTTGGAGTAGCGCTTGTTGCAGCCCTCATAGGGACAGACATAGGGCTTCTCACCTGCAGGGGTAGGCCACATAAGGGGATCTTGCCCTACTCTCAGATATTCCCACCCACATCCTCAGCATTCCCCAGGCCCAGATCTCTCAGATCAAGGATTGTGATTTGGGAGGCATCCCCAGCAATGTAACACAAGAGCTGACTCAGTTGGCTGCTGCAGGCAGAACCCAACCTGGTTAAGCCCCAGCTCTGCGATGGCCTTGCTGTATACCATCAGGTTGCCCCATGCAGCTGGTAAACTTAAGCAGGCAGAACTCCACCTTGGAGGTTATGTAGCTCTAGGTGGGCTCACTAGTGTTATTTACTAAGCCTTTACCACTGCACTGGCTAGGACAGCAACCAGCTGACTGCTATGCCTTTGAAACGCAGCTGGTCCAGGTAGAGATGTGCTGTGAGAGTGACTTATAGACCAGAAAAAGAAACACCACACTAGGTTTCAAAGACTGTCTGAAGTAAGGATTTTCAGTGTCTTACTGATTTTTTTTTTTTTAAATTGAAATGATTTAAATGGTAACAGTTTAAATATATATATTGGGGCTGGGGATGTGGCTCAAGCGGTAACACGGTCGTCTGGCATGCGCGGGGCGCTGGGTTCGATCCTCAGCTCCACATAAAGATAAAATAAAGATGATGTGTCCACCAAAAACTAAAAAGTAAATAAATTTATCTCTCTCTCTAAAAAAAAAAAAATAAATATTATATATATTGGATTCAATTAAATATATAATTGGGGCTGGGGTAGTGGCTCAGCGGTAGAGCGCTCACCTGGCATATGCAAGGCCCTGGGTTCAATCCTCAGCACCAATAAAAATAAAAATATTGTGTCTAAGTACAACTAAAAAATAAAAACTTAAAAATTAATGTCATCTATTTCTTTTCTTTTTAATGGTGATTAGACAATGTAAAACTAGTTCTATGGTTCTGTGAATAAGAGTTGGCTGTGGCTCTGTGGCTCTGGGACTAGGGAGCAATGCAGACCCAGTCTCTGCTGTCCTGAGGTAGCTAGCTATTAGTCAGATCATACAGATAGGACACAGGAAGTTGTGTCCATGCTCAGTGTATGTTGGGGTCTGACCCTTACGAAGGGCTCCCCCAGCAAGTGGCCTTCTGAAAGGGTCATGATCAATAAGATTTGTTCCTCATTGCTAAGGCCCAGTCCTTCCTGCCTGCCTGCTGGGTGCCTGCCCTTTCTGTCCCTAGCCTGCCCAGCTCTCCTATGTAGGAAAGACCCCCAACCAGGCCTCTCACCTGTGTGGGACCGGTTGTGGATCTTCAGATTCTCCAGGCGAGAAAAGCTTTTATTGCAGGTGGGGCAGCGGTGCGGCTTCTCGTTGGTGTGCGTGCGGATGTGGATGAGCATCTTGTACCTGCTCCAGGGAGGGCACAGGGGCACGCTCAGCTTGCTGAAGACCTAGCCCCTTCCTCCCGCCCTTGCCCCTGCTCCCTCACCTGGCGTTGAAGCCACGGCCATGGCGGGCACAGCCCTCCCAGTGGCAGCAGTACCCTGCGTCCTTCTCAGGCTTGACGTGATAGTCATTGACATGGTCCACCAGGTCTTGCAGGAGCTCGAAGAGCTGGTTACACTGTGGAGCCAGGCAGGGTTCTGAGCCTGTGTGGGGCCCCTGCCCTGGGCCCCATACCACTCTTCATGGCCCCCACTCACCTTGGCCCAGCGACACACCAGCTGCTTGGGCAGGGGCAGCTCTGGCGAGAGGCACTTGTCCTTGGAGGGTGTGAGGAAGGAGGAAGCAGGCAGATGCAGGGCCCCCCCAGAGCCCAGGGGTAGGAAGAACTGGAAGGAGCTGGGGACACTGTCCAGATATCGCAGTGGCTGGAAGTCCTTGGGAGTAAGGGCAAGGGGGAGAGCTGGTCAGTGCCCTCCTGAGACCCCCTTGCAGACCCAGACCCCTTCTGTCCCCTTCTGGAATGGGCTGAATGTTGTCCCCCAAAAAGATAGATTTAAGTCCTAATCCCTGGTACCTGTGCTTGTGACCTTATTTGGAAATGGGATCTTCACAAATGTAATCAAGTTAAAATGAGGTCCTGCTGGATTAGGGTAGCCTAAATTCAGTACCTGGTGTTTTTATAAAAGAAAAGAGAGGAAGATAAGGACACAGAAACTCAGAGGGAAGAAGGCCATGTGAAGATGGGGCAGACTGAGGTGATAAGGGTACCAGACTAGGGCTGCCAAGGAGGCAAGAAAGGATTGTTCCCTGGAGCTTTCAAGGGAACATGGCTCTGCCAATACTTTGTAGACTTGAGCTTCCAGAACTGTGGGAGAATAATGTTACAGAGCCCCAGGAAACCAATACACCTCTCCAAAATCCTCACCCTTCTTACCGGGGCAGTGGGCACTGGAGGCAGGTCCCCATTGCCCTGGCGCTCGGGGGAGAGTGAGCTGCTGCCATTGGGGGAGTCCAGTCCAGATGGTGGTGACAGGCTGAGGTCCACCAGAGGGGCTGCAGAAAAGCGTCCATCCACCTTCTCAGGAAACTTGGGGTTCAGCAGGAAGCCTAAGGGAAAGGCATGATTCAAGATGCTGGAGTCAAGAGTCCTGGTGGGCCAGGTCCTACCACCTCAGGATCCCCACTGTGATGTGGGGAGCAGATGTCAGCTAGGCCCCCCAGAGGACTGTGGGAGTAGCCCGCACATCTGACAGACGTAATGATACTGTCGGCTGTTGAACTTTCATCACCCTGAGCGCTCAGCCAACTGTGTAAGACAAAGTGGGATGAAAGAGGAAGTACCCATTTTATAGAGGAGACTGGTCTGGCACACAGGATGAATAATAGAAAAGAACTTGAACTCACCTGGCTCCCTGGTTGACCAACCTCAACACCTCAAAGCCCAGGTGAGATCTTGGGACCTATGCTACTACTTTTAGACCTCTGAAACCCCTTACCAAATTCTCCCAGGGCCCTCAGTTTGAACCCTGGCTCTATGTCTCAGCTCTCTGCTCCCTTCAAAACTGAACTGTTGGGAGGATGAATGGACAAACTTGTGGGTAGCACTCTAAACTGGAAGACGCCAGGGGCTGTGGCTGTGCTCTGGTGGACACACCTCCGCTCTTCTTACTGTTGTCAATGCTCGGTCAAGTGCAAGTCCCCCACCCTGCCTGGTGCAGTACCTGAGGGTGGGGAGCCTGGGGAGCCAGGTGTGGGGCTATCATCCACCAGGCCCAGCTCCCTTTGCAGAGTGCGGTGCCGGACCACACCCAGCACCCTCTCCCGCTTCTCTCTCGCCGCTCGGAGCTTGGTGATGCTCAGCTTCAGGTCAAGCGGCTCGTCCAAGGAGTGCATGGTGATGGGGTGCTGGCGTTGGAGGGGATAGCAGGCAGAAGGGGGCACCCAGCTGATCTTTAGGCAGGAACCTGGGGAAGGACAGAAGCTGTACTGTGACTCTGACCCCAGGCTCCTCCTCAAGCTGTACCCTAGGTTCTTAGGGAAAGAACCAACCACCTATTCAGAGGTTCCACGCCTACTTCCTCCAAGTTTTGGGGGAGGCTCAAGGCCTCCATTCTGCCATGAATGCTGAATTTTAGAGGTACTGCCTCAGGTCAAAGAGAAGTGGCAGAACTATGAGACTCAAGGCCAGACCTCTGACCAGTCATTTCTTTTTTTTTTTTTTTTCTTCTGGTGATGCTGGGAATTGAACCCAGGACCTTATACATGCGAGGCAAGCACTCTACCATCTGAGCTATATTCCCAGCCCCCCACCCCCCAGCAGTCATTTCTTTGAGAGGGGGAGCTTGCCTGGTCTGGGTCTGAAGACCTAGAAGCAGGCCGTGGGCAAGGAGTGTCCTCAAGGTGCCAGTTGATATTCCTCAGCAATCAAATGCTAGTGTCCCCTCTGTGCCCACCCTTGTCTATTCTCAGCAAGTAGCTCTGTCACCTCCAAGGGAGCCCAGCCCTGCTGATAGGGAAGTCTCAGGCAAGTAATGCAGAGTTTGGCCTCAAGGGACTGGGGACACTTCCCAGGTGGGGCCAGGAGAGGCATCCACAAGCCAATGGGAGCCACAGGGCTCTGGGCTGCCACCAGGGGGCAGATGGGGACTGTGGTCAGGCTGGCCAGAGCTGGGCTGGTGGAGCAGACCAGCTCAGTACATAAAAACCACATACAGTAAAGGTGATAACGCTCTTCTATTATATATCTCATGCTATAATTTTCATATAATTTCTCATTGGTGTAATTTTCACATAAATGGACTCAGGATCCTCTGACCAAGCTGTCAGCTCATCCCTCCAAGTTCAACACTTCATTCTCCCAGCAGCAGTCTTTACACACAGAGAAAACACTCCCACTGTTTCCTGGCCTTTGTTCATGAAGACTGGTGCACCCTGTAAATCTCTACTAACATGAGATCCTGTCACTCGCTGTATTTAATACAAAAGGGTGGACATGGTGGGTGGGCCACCACCTGGAAAATTGCACCCAAATTTGTGTCCTGGGGAGGCAGGATGGTGGTGAGGCTAGTGCACATAGGGATTCAGAGCTGCTGGAACATCCTCAGGAATAGGACAGGGATGACAACCCCCACGTCCCCTCTCATCCCTTCTCTAGACCAAGACCCCTTGGCAACTTCACCCACTCGATGCAGTTCATCCTTTCCCTCTACCTCCTACAAATTCAAAGCTTATTCAGAGACTCCCCAAGCACACAGGAAATAGTCCCTTCCTTCACTTGAGACCCCCTGCTTGCTGGGACAAATCCCCAGATCCTACAATATATGCATGGCTAACATGGAGTCTCTGAGCATAGAGAAGTTGTCCACCCCTCCGAGGCCTGCATCATTAGAGCATGGGTGGGCCACTCTTGGCTTCAAGACCCAGGTCTGTGACTTGTCCCTGTTGGAGCTGTCAGATCTATGTGTGCCACATACCCCCTACCATACACAGATCAAGCATTCCCAACAATATAAAGGAGGTGGGACCAGAGCACCACCCTTCTCCTCAGGAGGTCTAGATCCCAGCTTGCAGGTGGGTAGGTGGCAGTGATGGATGACCTTGGGTCCCCTCCTCCATTTCCCTGAGCAGGGAGCTGTCCTCTGCCTGACCCCCACCTCCCTAGTTATGTCTCTCTGTCTGTGTCTGCCTGTCCTTCCACCTGTTTATTTTTAGACACAGGCCCAGTCCAACCTCCCCAAAGCTCCTCTGTGCTGAGAGCCTGGAAGGAGAGGAAGGAAGTAAATATTTATGCTGATTAAGAATTCAGGAGCCAGGAAGGGCTGGTGGCCTGGTCCCTCTGCTGGCCCAGGGCCACAGGCCTCCCCATAGCCCCTGTCCCTCACCTCCACCCCAACCCTTCCAAAGAAGGGAACACAGGCATAATGTTTGGGGAGCTGGGAATCCAAGTGGATGCTGACTCTCGCTGGCAATGATGCCCAAGCAACATCTTTTGGCACCTGCCCCACTGTCCCCTCCATCCCTCCCAGGGAGCTGTGGGAGGAGCCATGGCCCTGGGTCACCTTGTTCTTTGAACCTGCCTTAAAACTGGTTCCCTGTCTCAAAATTGGGGAGGTCCCAAGAAAAGCCATCTTTATGGGGGGGCACAGTCCCCCCATCAGCAGGCCCAGCCCCCCCCCCATCCTGGTGCTGAGTTCTACCCAGGGAGGCAAGGGCTCATTCCTATGGAAGACAGAACTCAGCCCAGGCACCTCCTGCTCCTGGGAAAGGAAGAAGCCATCCCAAAGCCCTCACCTCCTAGCAATCCCATCCAAGAGGAGCCTGCCTAGAATTTTCCCTCCGCAGGGACCTACCCCCTAGGGAGATGGCCTGTAACCCCACTCCTGCTCTGATCTTGGCCAACCTCAAAGTGTTCCCCCACCCCCATCCACAGGCACCGGCTTGGCTCTGCTCTTTGTTCCAGGGATGGGTGAAAAGCGCAGGAAGGAGAGCCTGGTTCCTGCTCTCTTTAATGCCTCGAGTCCCGTCACCTCCTGCACTGGCCACACCATCACCTGATTTAAGGCATGGGGGGGCGGGGCGCGATGACCCTCGGAAGGGCGGAGCGCCGCCTGCCTTGCTCAGAGAAGACGTGCCTAGCCAGCGGTGGACCCGGGGCCGCTTTGTCCTCGAGGTCTCTCCCTCGCGGCGGGGCGGTCCCGAGGCAGGAGCCCATCCCTCTCGGACAGGTGGCGAGGTGCAGGGCCCGAAGTGGCGGGGTGGAGCGTGCCGACCCGCGGGTCACCTCCCTCCCGCGGAACCTCCCGGCGCGTTGGAAGGCGTGCGCCTCGCGCCCTGCTCCCGCGGCGTGGAGCTGCGATCAGCGACCCGCAGCCGCGGCTCGCAGCGCTAGCACAGGGCGGCCGGGGACGCGCGCGGCGCTCCCACGCCGACGTCCCGCGGGGTAGGCCGCGCGGCCCGGCCTTGCGCGGCTTCTCCAGCTGCAAAAGGAACTAATTAAAGCGGAGGGAGCGGGAGGAAGCGGCGGCGGCGAAGGAGGAAGCGCGCGGGGGCGGCGCAGGGACCACCGGGGCGGCGGGGGCTGTGGACGGCCCTCCCCCACCCTGGGGCGGGGGTCACCCGGAGGGTGGGCTGGGCGGGCCCCCCGCCGGCCGGGCCGAGACAATGGCTGCTATTGTGCGCCCGCGGCAGTCCTGAGCAGACGGCCCCCAGCTGCAGCGGCCCCCAGCTGCAGCGCTTGGCCCGGTAAACCCTACTGCCACCCCCAGAGGGCGGGTCTGGGTGCTTCCATCCCCACCCTCCCAACCGCAGGCCCCGACCCCGGTGGGGAAACTGAGGCTCAAGGTCACCAGGCTAACAGAAGACTGCTAGAACTGGCTCTGGATAAAGTCCCTCCTGCCCTGAGCCTGGAGGGGCAGAAGTGCAGGGTGGGTTGGGGGTTATTTGTACTGGACAGAGTGGGGCGTGACAGATGAGGAACTACGAACTGACAAACAGCCTAACTTGACCAGTTTCCTTGGCAGAAGCAGAGAGGACAGAGCCCTCTGTTAAACTAGGGAAACCTCCCTACTCACCCTACAGCAGCGTAGGTCAGGTGAGTGACCACCAGTGTATCAGTGTTGCCAAGAGCAACTTGAGGGGTACCCCTTATTCCTGGGATAGTCCTGATACTGCCCCTTTGGTCAGCTGTGGCAAGTCCAGCTTGGGCACCCTGTTCTTAACAGATGTTGAAATGGAAGGCCAGAGGGGAGGCACCTGTTACAGCAGGTGCTGTTTCATCCCCAGTTCTTGGATGCAAAAACTGAGGCTCAGAGAAACTTAAGGGGCCTGTCCAGGGTCACGTGGCTTGTCAGTGACAAAACTTTCTCCTGTGCTCATGGATGTGGAAGAAGTAGACCAAGAGCTTAGGCCAGGCACCCCCTCCCTGTCAAGGGGTTTGTGGGGTCTCAGTGCAGAGCCTGGGAGAAGGGGCGGCAGAGAAGGCAGTGGGTGGGCACCAGGGGGAGCAGACCTGGGTGGGGAGGCCCACTGGAGGCAGAGATGCTGCCAAAGCAAACGGCCCCACAGCCCCACATTCCTGGGAACTGGCTGTGGCTCCCTGCTCTAGCCAAGAGCTCCACCCTAGAAGGCCGCCCAGCCACCTGGGCTGGAAGGCAGGGGCAGGGCCTCCCTTTCTGACAGGCAGAAGGCCATGGCTCCAAATATGGAGCAGACCACCTGGGGCCCCAACCTGGCCTTGCTACTTCCTTCCCATGTCACCTGAGCCTCTCCATCCTCATGAATAAAGTGGAATGATGATAAAAGTAACAGGATCCCACCTGAGGTTTGGGGAGAAAGCAAGGCAATGCTACATATCCAATCCTGACTTGGTGCTTCCCATCAGTATGACACATTCAGCACCTAGAACAGGGCCAATCACATAGTAGGTACTTAGTAAAACTTGTCATATAAATTGTCACCACTGCTGAGTACCCAGCCTTTGGCAGTCTAGAGCTGTAGGGTGCTCAAAGCAGGACTGGCTCTCGGCTCTATACCCACAGACAGTTGGGGGGAGAACCTAACCTGGGAGAATCTTGGCTTTGCCAAAGCTACTGGTTGATCTTTACCCCTCAAGAAAGCCTTGGGCCTCTGCTGTCCTGTGGAGTGACCACAGCAGGCCCTAGCCACCTTCCAGAGCCTGAGTACTGAAAGCCTGGATTAGCCAGAGACAGACCTCCTCCCAGGCCTAAGGGAGGGGCTTGTCCAGAGGCCGGGCCCAGCAAGTCCCAGGAGAGGGGCCAGGGAAGGCAGCACTTCCTGGAAGGCCCTGGGGTTAGCCTTCCCTGGGAAACCTCTGACTCTACAGACAGCCCCTCCCTATCCCACAAGGGTACCTAGCCAGCAGCCCACCCCAATGGGAATACAAGGGGTACCCAGGTGGCCCAGCCAAATCTGAACTCTGTCCTCTGTAATGGGGGCTTCAGGGAAG